TGAGTGTGATACGCACTCTTTTGGTGCGCCGTGTATGAACACGGCCGCAATCCTGGCTTACGCATGTTTGATCTAGATTCGGGGCGCTGGGGGCGGAACAAAATGAGCAGTTGTGCAGCAACGCAGTTGTAGGGGGAATGATGCAGTTTGTATACTACCTCCGTACACACTCAACCTTGATGTCGTGATGCCAGGTGTCTCATGGACCGCTAAGAAGCTGGCAAGCGACATCGGCAAGGGCGCCGCTCGATGGCACTCGGCTAGCCGCAACATTCTAGACTAGAAAAAGCTTCCTGGCGTTTCATGCGCAAGGCCACTTGCAGAAGTGCTTTGGGGACTGCGCGGGCTGTGATGCGTGATGCTCGTGAACAACGAGGTGGCTCTGGCTTCGACTGCCCTGTTCTGGAGAAGCTTGCAGTGGCCTCTGATAAGAAGTCTGATGCCTGTGCTGTGTTTGCGTCTGTTCCATTTTGCTTGTTGTTTTAAGTGCGTGTATATGTGCATGTGGCTTATTGTGGAAAACGCTTCCCTTGTCAAGCGATCTCTCGGCCTTCGGGCCATGTGCAGAGCAAACCTGAGGAAGAAGCGGCGCAGCGGGCCTTTGCCAAGTTTGGCCTCCGGTTGGGGGTGCAGATCACTTATGTGGATGTGGACGCTCCCGAGAAGTACCCAATGCTTCTGCCATCCTCGTTTCTAGAGCTGATCGATAAAGGGAATCATTGGGAAATGATTTCTGGCCAGCCTACTTTGGCAAGGGCTGAGGCAAGCTTTGAGCTTTTCTGGAAGCAGTATGAAGTGCTCTTCCCAAACTTCAGCTTTTTCGAAACTGCTCGCCGCAACAGCATTCCCTTCAAGCGAGTTTGCCCAGTCTACATCCACGGGGATGAGGGAACCCACTTCAAGAAGTCGGGCATCATGATCTTGCAGTGGCAGGGGGTCTTAGGTGCTGGAACTTCCCGGTCTGTCAACGCAAACACGACGGATGCCCAAGCTGTGAACTCTTTAGGAAACACCTTGAGAACCCGACTGCTTGTTGGAGTGATGCCGAGGGTGCCTCGTCAAAGAAATGCAAGTTATTTTCTGAAGTCGTTAATTAATTTTGTGCGTGTAAATTTCTGGTCTGATGATTTGGCAACAACCCCACATCACATGTCCCTTTGCAGCCTTAAGGCAATGTACTCCACCAACGGGGATGTGCTGGAGGCTTTGTTTGAGTACCTAGTGGAGGACTTTCACAAGCTGTCGACCCGCGGGCAATTGCTGAAAGACCATGCTTGCCTCTGGCTGGTTCCTTTGGGAATGAAAGGGGACTGGCCCTTCCTGGCGCCTGGGATTTGAAGCGTTTTGTTTTGCAGCATGTTTATGATGGAAAAACACAGTGTGGGCCCTGTTTACAAATGTTGATATTTGGCCCGCGCAAGGCCTCTGCTGGGAATCTCAAGCGAACATTCCGGAATGGGCCAAAGGCTGCATCTGCAAAACAGGCAGGTGGTGGAATTTGTCACCTCTGCAGAGCCGGACAGCCAGGGTACGATTTCGAAGACATGTGCCTTGTTTAAGCCACTGTTTTGCTTGTCCCTTTCCTTTGGGCGCGGAAAGTTTTTTGCACATACATGATGAGGGTTCCCGTTCCCCCAAGGATTCCTTTTGAGGGGGCCCCTCAACTTGGGTTCTGCCCTGTTTTTTGGATTTGTTTGGGAAGTGTTGCATTTGTGACACCGAAGTTAAATGGTCTCAGGCATCAGGAGATGGTTCAAAATCCAGAAGCGCGTGGGGTGTTTGGGGCTCCCTTCTTCGATGAGTTGTTCACACCACTCCAAATTTGATTGAAAGAGAACCGCAAAGGTCACCCAGTCCTGCAAGATTCAAATTTGGTCTTAACTTTTTATATCCGGGTTTGGCTCAACAAGCCTGCGTTTGGGCTAATGACAAAGGGCTTTCACAGAACTGGATATAGGACTGTTGTTTGGTGATGCGACCGCTCAACACATGATGATCGATAGATAGACCAAGCTTAAAAAAGTGTTTCCAACACAAGAGAAGTGACAGAGCTAGCCATGTTAACAAGTGCATGTGACTTTGTTCGACCGAGCTATAACTGCCACCCTGAAAAACTGGACTAACCCTTCAAAGCCGTTTAGTCGCCCCCCCCGGCCCCCCCCCCCATTGTTATGGCTCCCCCTCCAGGTTCAACCCAAACCAGGCCAGGGATTTTGGCATTCGACATGTCTTTCCTGGCTCTGCGCAAGCATTTAGTTGGGTCATCGCTCGTAAAAACCCCACCATAGCCAAATGATTCCAAGCCCACTTTTCCTGCAGAATTGACAATTCGCATCATTAAGCGGCCCCTACAGCATTTTTCCAGAATGTTGCTGTTGGAGAAATAATGTTGGGGCGACCTGCTAGCGGCAAATACGGTTTGGAAACATCGCTTTCACTCCTTTTCAACGATGACAGTCCTTGATTCAGGTCAGCGTACCCCCCCTTCATGGAAACCATTGACGAGGAGCCCCCATGGGACCGCGAACCCTGCTTCACCCGAGTTCTACCCCGCGATGTTGCGAGCCCATCCAGCTATTTCAAACCAGATGTGTGGCATACAGTGAATCTGGGGGTGGGTCGAAGCTGGGTTGCAAGCTGCGTGGTGTGTTTGACGCGAAACCTGGATGAGCTCAGCGGGCTGACCCCTGAACATGCGCTGCAGCAAATTTCGGCATCCTACATCAGCTTTTGCGAGAACTCAGCTTCTAAGCCGCAGTGTTGTTGCTCCATCAGTCTCTAACTTTTGGTGTTGGCGTTGTTGCTGATGAGTGAGCGCAGGAATGGGTTCGGATGGTCCTATTTTATTGCAAAGGTTTGTGATGATGACGGTGATGGGAAAATTTTCTGGCGGCGCTGATGGTTGTGATGATGATGGCGATGATCGTGCCTAAGCTTGTGGCGGCGGCAGTCATGACAACGATGCTGGTGATAATGAGGTTGATGACGGTGATGATGCTGGTGATCGTGATGATGGAAATGAAATGATGGTAGTGAGGATGATGATGAGGATAGTCATGACTGTGGTGATGATGTTGTGCTGGCGCTCAGGAAAGGGTGTTAACGGTCATGATGGTTGTGATGGTGGTTGTGAGGATGATGGTGAGGGTGATGGATCGTGATGCGCGTGAGTGATGACGCTGATGATGACGATGATGATCGTGAGTGATGACGATGATGACGAGCACGGTGATGATGGAGATGATGATGATGATGATGATGATGATGATGGCGGTGACAATGGCTACACTACTGTGATTACAATTCTAACGATGATGCGTGTCTTTTCCAGCGTTCTTCGCGTCCAGTTTTTTCACGTGCTCAGGCCCCGAGAAAGGTGAAGTACATCAGCAGCATCACACGCGCAACGCTTGGCTGGGAAAGCAAAATTGGCGGAACCCCTGATGGTAGGTGGAGCAAAGGATCTCTCACTACAACCTTGGCTTCCTGGCTTGAGTACTTTTGCAGGGAAAAGAACTTGGAGGGGGGGACCGACGAACGCCTCTCGCTGGTTGCTTCGGGGACGCGCGCTTTGAATGCCATGATGAAGGGCTTCTACGATCATGACTTATGGCTGGATACGCCTAGCAGAAATGTGATACTTTCGGCTGGCAACCACTACCTTCAGGCAAGCTCAAAGCTGGCGCTGCTATCATACAACTTGCAGGAAAATTTGTTTCCAATCACCCCGAAGCATCATATGATGTTTCACGTTCTGAAAAATATCCAATGGCAGGGGGACGTAGCTGGGCTGGCATTCAACCCAGTTAGCGAGTTTTGCGCCTTAGATGAGGACTATGTCGGGAGACTGGCCCTCATTGCTCGGTCTTGCAGCCCACGCAAAACGTGTGTGAGGACCATCGAGCGGTATCTGCTTTTGTGTAGGGCAGCGTGGGTGAATGACCTGCAGCTGTTCTGCAGAAAGCGTGGGCGGAACGGGGCGTAAAAGCACAATGGCGTTGCGCGCATTAGTTGTTTTGGAACTCTTCTGCAACCTGGTCGGCGGGCGAGGCTGGCAGCCGTGCATCGGGGGGTTATGTGGGCAAACCCCAAAACCAACAAATCCGCTTGGTGTTGCAAAATCCGTTCGGGAGCTAAAATCCCGGCAAATCCGTCGATTTTCCCAAGGGTGTGGAAAAAAGTCATCCTAGGGGGTCGTAGGTAGGTGTGTTTTGCGGTGCGCTTGGGAAGGAACATGCATGGGTTCCACTGGCTTGAGTTTGGTTCTAGATTCACTTCATTTACCAGTGCGATCTATGTTTCAACAAGGACCGACTTCTTGCTGCAATTCAGCTGAGTGGGGGCAGGATTGCACACTTCTCGGTTCAGCTGGACAGATAGTTCTTCGAAGGTGCAAGCAGATGCTCGTGATATCCGGAGATCATGTTCTTCAACCTGGTGGGATGCGGTGGGGCAACGTCCCACTACCTGAGAGGTGGTGGTTTCTCGTCCAGTGGGTTTCCCCCCCGCCCAACACCGAGTTCCCAGTTTCTCCTTTGTGTTCCTTTTTTCTCTCTTCTCCAGATTGTTCCCCACAAATTAAATCTGCCAATCCTTCAGAGGCCCTGGGGCAGGGGTTCCGGACAGTTTCCGGTTCCAACGTTTGGGGCTGGTTTTGTTGACATTGCGGGGATGTTTGGGCGGTCCATTTTTCGGGAAACATGTACCGAAGCTATGCCTATGCCTCAAAAATGTCTCCCAAAATCATGACAGCCCAAGCACCCTCCCTCCAGACATCCCTGAAGTGAGGCCTTGCTAACGGGGACTGCCAGGCAGTCCTTAGATTTTGCAGGGCTCCCTTTGCTATTTCAATCCCGCACAAGGCCCCTTTTTCTATTAATACCGTTTTAGACCTCACGCCAAAAGGAAACTCAAATTATCACTGGCCCAAAAGGCAATGCTGAAGCCACCAAAAATGGCGGAACCTGGCGGAGCCACAGTTCCGATGTGCCGCCTGTCAGGAGCCCGGATGCACCGCTTTCTTCAGCGTGAGTGGAGCAAGGCCAACGTCGAGGCGGGAGCGCGGGACTTGAAGATGGCGATCGTTATGGAGTGGCAAACCCAGTTCCAGACCTCCAGTGGTGCCCTTGCTATTTTTTCTGTCGAAGGGGGTTCCATTAAGAACCGACCACTAAAAAAGTTGCATTTTTCCCATGGCCATCCAGGGTTTGTGTGTTTGATGAACCCTCGAATTTCCCCACCTCCCCCCCCCCTTTAAAAAAAGATGAAACCGCCAAATGATGAAACGTCATGGCGAGAGGGTCCGGGGGATTGGGATGTTGCGCCCTTGGCCCTTCCGCGCCAGCCCTCACCATCAGAAGGCGCTGGGGCCCCTGCGAAAAGCCGACGGATGTTCAGACTCTCGGTTTCCGCTAGGTACAAGCGCGTTAAACGAAGCTTTAAAAAGAAACCCTGCTCCCGGTGGAGGGGTCCACCATTTGCGGCGAGTGAGAAGCAAGCAGTCCCAGCCACCCCAACCATGAGAGACACAATAAAACCCCGAGTTGAAGGTTAGTCAGAGACGATACTAACCACAAATCGTTGCGACTACCCTTTTGAGTCTAATCTTGGGTAGTGTCCCGCAGTATCAGGTTTTGATTTTGATTCATTTCCATGTACTGTCCTAAATACGGAGACTGCTCCCCCATGAGCATCAATCCTTGCTCGGCTGCTACCCCGGAACTACCTTTGTCAAGATGTGATATGCCAGTTGTTACACACACCACTCCTTGGAGAGGCCATGTTCTCAATGTTTGTCGTTATTTGCTCCATGTCCATGTGGGCCTGTTTGAGGGTACTCCCCTGTAAAATCACCTGGCCGCAAAGCGAGTGGTTCTCCCCCAACAAGGTGATCCTTTTGCATTGTAAATGCATGTTTCTTGGGGTTCCGTGTTGCTTTGCAGGATTCTGGGAATGAGGCTAGGCTTTCTTCCCACTGTGATACCAGAGCACCTCTCCTTTGCGAAGAATTGACAGTGGGACTGCCTGAACCCGCTTCGCTTGCCAGGGCGCCGCGCCCTATAGCTTGACCTGGCCGGCGGAGAAAAAATGGCTCTTGCGGTGTGCTCTTGAAGTCTGCCACTTGGGGGGTTGGTGCAAGGAAATCCACATCTTTGGGGGTCCTTCTTTTGACACATACCCATATGACAATTTTAAGCATGACAACAGAAGCCCTTTTGGTCCAAACTGAACAAGGTTTCAAAACCGGGTGGAACATCGCTGAACATTTTTCTTTGGTCTTCCCGCAGTTAGGGGCCACAGTTGCTTGTGAATGAAACAGAGTTGCTTTTCCAAACCACAAGTTCTCACTTTCATTTCAGGACTGCTCAGTGTACCGCCAAGTTGCGGGCTGAATAAGCCTTAAGGCCCACAAGTTATCATAAGGCCCTAGAAACCAGTTAAAGACAATTGGCCAAATGAAGCCTTTACATTTGGAGCCCCAGTCTTCCCGGGCTTTTCAACCGGGATGAAACGGCATCCAGCGGCACCCGTGCCGTGGCACGCGGCGGCGCGTCTTAGGCAGATGTCGGCGCGTCTGGCGGAGCTGGGCTCATCGGAGCGCTTGAGCCGTGCCAAGCGTGGGATTCCCGGCGGTGCCGTCGACCCACGGTTTTCGTGTTTCGGGGTCGTGTGGGGTCCATGCGAAAACCCTGAGCCGTTTTTGTTCTGGGCCGAAGAACCGCATCCTCAAAATGACTTGTAAGTTGTGGTTTCCCGCCCGAAAAGCAAAAAGAGGTTCGGTTTACGGGGTCCGGTTTGTTCTTCGACAGTATTTGTTGAAACAATAAGCCCCTTTGACGTGAAACCGAAAGGAGGTTGTAAAACAATAGAGGTTTAACCATAGTATGAAGCAACGGAGGTTGCTGAAACAATTATCAAGTATTATTGGTTGAAACCTTGTTGACACTTTCTTTAACCCTCAGATATATAGATGTTTTCCTTGGCAGCTGTCAGAGCACAGAAAGGAGAAACTCCGGCAGACGGGCAAAGGCCTCCAACCCCAAGTGCCAGTGACGCCGCGTGAACAAAGCCGTGGCCAAGAACTTGACTGCTTTTGGGCAACGGATCTTTAGACTTTCACTTTTTGGTTGAAATATTTTGTTGGGTTTTCCACTAAACCCCCCCAAACGTGCTCAACTTTTTGCAGGGGGGTCGTTGCAGCAACCAAGAGAAGAAGGGCAAAGTCCAAGTTCAAAGGCTCCTTGATTGTGTCGTCCATGCCGTGGCCAGTTTCTTGGAGTCATGTGTCGCATATCATGACCTTGTGGAAACAACTGGAGGGCGTGGCAAAAATGTAGTGGATGTGTTTCTTTCGGACTGTTTCTGGGAGGTTTTGTTTTGCCAACTTCCGGAGGTTTAATGGGGGTGTCCGTCAGTATCAAGGGCATTTTCTCAAGGTTAAGTTGTGGTTTCACCTCCGAAAACGGAATGCAACGCTCGGTGAACACCCGTCTCTCCCAGTCGCATTGCACACACCCAACATCCCACTGGAACAGCCTAGGACTTATTTGCCTCAGCGAACCCGAATTGAGAAGGCTCCCAACTTAAAGAGGACAAGCAGAATATGAACTTCCAAATGCTTTGTTAGTTGGCGGAACGGCTGTGATCCTCAAGCAGTGGCTCAGGTAAGCCCCCTGTAGGGTTCTTGTGCTTGCATTGGTGAGGTCTGCCAAGGCATGCGGACGCGTGCCTGCCGACTCGTTGCAAGCGGCAGCAATCTATAATAGCCCATTAACAGCCATTAACCATAGATCTGGTATGTCCAAGTCCTGGTCTCCTCAACCTGACCCTTCGCCCATTTCTTTGACACATGGGCACCTTGAACATACCAAAAGGCAGAAAGTATCTGGAGAATTGAACCCATTCCCTTGGGTTCTCCTTCTCAACACCCTAGTGCTGTGGATGGACAGAATCCGTGTTGCACCACTTGGTCCCGAGTGATAAAACCCGAATTGAATATTTGCTAGTTGGTAAACTGCCAATCCCAACTGGTGCAGGATGTCCATCCACGGTATCCACCTTGATTCTCAGTGCCTTCTCGTTGCAATGGAGTACCTGCAGTCTCCATTGTCAAACATGCAAGGGGGCATTGGCCATCAGTTTGAGGGGCACAGTTGGGTGAAAGTAGATAGTGACAAAGCCAACATTGGGGGGGGCATTGCGCCATCTACGTTTATCCAACTGTAAAGTGCCATTCTCCAAGAAACAAACCCTCCAAATGGGTTGTGTTCCTTTCGGTTGCCTTGTAGGCGCAAACCCAAACCAAGTGTAGCCTCAATGCGCTTTGCGTCAGGTGAGCACGCCCGGGTTCAGCAGCACCTGGACGCCGAGACCAGGCTCGTTTTTGCAGGGGCGTAGGGCAGCTCAAAAGGGGAACCTATCAGGAGGCTTCCCAGAAACAACGTTTAGCCAGGGTTGGCCCCGCCCTTCAGAGAATGTGGGGGGCTGAGTGCCAATGGAACCAACAAGATTTGTCCGTCTAAAGGTGATTCCGGGCCTGTGTTGAGCTGCAGGGATCTGCAAGGGGGGTGAATTAGAGCAAGTCCCTTCATGTCACTGCCCCCTAGTGTGATTGGATTCCTCGGGTTTGCTGACATGTCCTTTGCCGCTTTCTCAGAAATCGCCTAATTATTTGACCCCTGAGCTGCTGTTTAACCATAAACGCCGGAAGGTCCACAAAAGGTGTAGTGTTGGAAAACAGGCCACCTCTCTCCCTACACGTTCCCCTCTAAGCAATGGACGAATGCCATGGCCGCGCGAAGGAGCTGATCAGGTGCATACAGCGCATGGTAGCGGACTTCGAATGACAAAACGGCCTGGTCAGGGCTTCAACCACCCTGCCCTTGGCAGCACATGTTTTCTCCCAGGTCACAGGCCACCATGAAACCAATATAGGCGCCAGCGGCCTATCTGTACATGAGCCTGCCCAACAGGGCCATAGCTCCACTGCTAATGGGTTGGATTTTAGACCTAACTTTTTGGGAAATCATGGGGGTTTCCCCCACAAAAAGTCAAACGCAGAGGGGTCTCGCCAGCAACCAAGATAAGTGAAGCAAAAAGTGAGTCAAGTCTGGCGTTTCTGTGGTTTCTGTGCTCACTGGCTGCCTTTCGCTCCCTTTCAGCCGCCAAAAAGAGGGTCCGCTTCAGCTCCATATCAAGTTGGCTGTCCGATCTGAGCCTTCGGCCTATTTGCAGGCTTTATCAGTCGCGTTTGCTGGAGGCAGGGGGGGGCGTTTCAGGGTTCTTGTTTAGTCGGCCTGTGGTTTTGCCACGTTCAAAGTGACCCCCGAAGTGATGGGTCACAGCGGGCGGAACGAGCCCAGTTTCTGGCTTTGACAGCCCCCAGAACAGACAACATGACCCAGTTCAAGTGCCGCTGCGTCGTCACTGGCAAAAGACCCCAAATTCATAGCTGATATGAAACCATGTCATTGATGCCCACAGGGGTTCACATCCGCAGTCCACCCACCTTTGTTCAGCAATGGAGCAGTCAAGGGCTTCGCCGCTGTTCGCGTTCGGTTGCCAAGTGGCCCCATCCTTCTCGATTTTTCCAAGAGCCATTTTCTGGAGCTTCCCTTTGGGAACGCCTGTTCAGCTTTCAGACTGAGATCCTTTTTGTTGCCAGTGTTTTTCGTTGGTTTAGGCAAAACACGTCGTTGCTGGTTGTCGGCCGTCAACTCAAGTCAGACACCCTGGCTCCATCCATCCTATCGACCCTCAGCCTGCGAAGGCCTAGTTTGGCCTTCGGCCCTTTTGTCTCACCCGGTAAAATGCGGTTGAACGCTGATATTTGTGTTGCAGCCCGAACTTGGGGACGAGTCTTTCGACGTCTTTCAAAGGTGTTTAGGCTGATGGTTTGATTGGCCACCCCTCCCCCGGGAAGAAGCCGCAGCTAGCGGAGGTCTTGGACAGCATGGCTCCTTTGCAGCGCGCACTGGGCCTGGACCCTGGTCAATCCTCCGGAAAAAAAATGCCGCTGGTCCAACGTCCATTGGAGAAAGGGCTACCTGGAGCTTGAGATCAAATAAACTGTGGAGAAATCACATTCGCACCAAGTTGTTGGTGGTTGATCAACAAGTATTCTTGGGGTCTGTGCTGGATTTTTGTTCATCCACGGTATGGCAACTTAAGGTTCACTCAATGTGGACCATCCTATGCACGTGTCATCCCGCGCTGAAAAAGGCAGTTGCCTTTCGCTGGTTCTTCCTTCATTTCCAGCGGGGCGATGTTTGCAGGATGGGCTCCCGAGCATGGATGCACGGCTAGGTGCTTTCTTCCAGTATCCAGTGGAGTTGCATCCCCGACTAGTGACTGGTGCAGAATTTTGGCAAGCCGCAGCATTTCAGCAAACCTGTCAGGTCGTCCCGGAATCGAGCCAGCCGGAGTGCCTTTTTTAAGGTAAGACAGAAGAAGAAAGGATAAGGGGAAGAAAAACAGAAGACAGAAGAAGGAGAGAGGAAAAGTAGAAAGCGAGAAGAGGCAGCAAAGCAAGGAGGCAGCAAGGCAGAAGAGCAAGGAATCTGCAAAAGAAAGAAAGTTAGAAAACAGAGAACAGAAGAAGAGACAGCAAAGAAAGAAAGCAAGACAGAATAACGCAGAGTCAAGCAAGCTGGAAAGAAGCAGTCTGCACAAAGAAAGCAAGAACCAGAAGGAGCAGCAAAAGACAAGTTAGAAACAACAAAACAGAAAGCACCAGAAAGCAGCAAGAGCAAAGAAAGAAGAGAAGAAAGGAAGGAAGGGAGAAAGCAAGAAGGCAGGAAGTGCAGCATCTACAATGGTAAAATTAAAGGGCCGGATAACCCCACAAGTCTGCTTATTGAAGTATGCGACACTTGCATCTGCCAAGCAGCGAATAATCCCAAATCCGAGACATGCAAAGACCCTCACATGCAAAACCTCCACGCAGTCAGCTATGTCGAAAACTCTCAGCACTTTGTTTTTCGCTCTGGCAGATCGAGGGGTCGCATTGGCATCGCCAATGGCATATGTCAGCGGCATATGTTTAACATATGGCTTGAAGTGCCAACGCGTCAGGCGCAGCATGTATCTGCCAGCCTGGCCCCATGCATCCCGCGCTGTAAGGCGCTAAGTACTTCAAGACGAAAGCCTTCCAAGAGCGGAACCCCATTTCTGCAGGCTTCTTTGCATTGCAGCTGGTTCTACAAGCGTATATAGGTCGCTCCCGCGACCGCAGATGCGAGCAAATTCCAAATCACCCACGCGTCCGAATCTTTCGATTGGGGAGTCCTGAAGTGCGGCTCGATGATGTGTTCTGGCACGGCTGCAAATGCTGCCATTTAGACAGCTGCCAAACGCTGCCCCTGCCAAGCAAACACACGCTCAGATGCACAGAATGCTGCGCCTGCCATGACTTCGGCAACGGCATCTCCAAAGTGCTGCGCCTGCCACGATTTCGCGCCCGTTGGAATTCGTCAAGCGATACCTTCAGGAAAGCACAAATTCTGCACCAAAGTCACATTTTCGCAGGATGCTCTTTGTGGTACGCAAGAACTCTGGCCAGTTTTTGTGACCAATCCACTCGGTCGGGGATCCTTTCTGCAGATATACAAATATACGTCCATCACATCACGTATGTCCTTCTTTCTGCTTTTCCTATTTTCTCATGGCAATGCACGAAGCCAGTATTTATAAAGCTAACGCACACTGCGCGTTCCAAACGCAGCCCTGAGGCCAAGCGGACCAAGAGCGGTGCGACCTGGCCGTGCAGCGGGGGGGCCGAGTGCCACGCGTTTTCAACTGGAGCACGCTCCGAGTCTGGAACTAGGTTCCAGTAGTGCCCTTTTACCAACTTTTGGGGGGGAGGGTTCGTTCCACTATTAAAGATAGACTACAGAAAAAAGGGTACCCTTATTCCAACCCTCTACTGGAGGACCTAGGGAATCTCCCTTTGGTGCATTTCCATTAAACCACTGAAAGTGAAACTTTTAGCAGGGGAGCAGAAAGCAACCGAGCGACTCCGATTCTGGAATCTTCCCATGTCAAATTAGTGGCTTAAACCACCAATCACCCGTTCGAAGAAGAACAGGTAGTTTGTCCCAATATTCCAGGGATGCAGATTGTTGAACAACCACCCATTTGGGAAGTCCTTTGGGGTGCCAACCGGATTCGGGAAATGGGCACTCTAGCTGTAATCTCTTTCTTTGGTGTCCCTAGCCACAAAACAAGCACCGCCATGAGTATGAGTGGACTACATCATGCGGCTTCCCTAGCCTCGAAAATCAGACTTCTGAGCCGACTTTGGGTGCACGGCCCCAAGCGTCCTCTTGGGCGGCCTCGACATATAGACGCAGACGACTCGTTTGGTCTATCAAGCTGCCTCGCCGGATGTTTCCGCGCCCCTGACGAACTTCTGGAGGCTTTTTTGCGTCCCCGGACTTCCTTGGCCGGGAAGTTCTGCCCTTCACAGGTGATGTTCCGGACAGGTCATCCAACAAGCTTCAGCTGCTGCCGGTTTATGCATGGAGGGCACTGACACGGTCATGGGTCCATAGCCAGTTTTTTCTTGATTTCCCATCCGAGATGGCAGGCAAGTAACCAAGTGCGGGCTATCAATCATGGATGCCTCAGCGCTATAAAGAAGTAGCCCGCCCACCCTCCCCCCCACCCAGACACCCAGACACCCAGACACACAGACACACAGACGACAGCTATGCGCACCACCTGTTCCCTACTCCAAAGACAAGGTGGACAAACAGACCCCACCTCTGGTGGACTGCTTCCCGATGGTGCGGCAGAGAGCGCGAGAGAGAAACAGAGGTTCCTTCTACCCGGAGTCCCCATGACCCTTTGAAAATGGCTCCATGACCCCAATATTTTGGGTAATGACTCCATTTTTGAAGGGTCATGCAGACTCCAGGTATCTATTTTTGACATCATCACCTTATCAAAAGAATGGTGAGCTTCCATTTAGGGGTGATGTTCAAGGGGGAGAACGATCCCTGAGTCTCAGGGCTAAAATGCGACACTTTCGGGCTTCGGGACGACGCCAACTACAAAAAAATCCCGAGTTCCTGAATTACAAACACTTTGCGGGTTTGGTTGCCATTTTTTAGTGGCAACATAGTTTGGTTACTTTTCCTTCCCAACCCCGGACCAGGGTGAGATATCGTTGACTTGTCGTGCCGTCCAGTGAAGTGAGATATCGCTGGTGCTTATGAAGGCAGAAAGGGGTTTTGGGAATAAAGGAAGCCACAAAGCATGTTGGGAATCCACTGAAAGGGGATTCCCGCAAAAAGGATGCCAACTCAGGGATGGGTTTTTCTCTGTTCCAACTCCTTCCTTGATCGAAGCGATCGCATGAGGCTTGTGCAGACCTTAGTGGCCATCTCTGATGAGGAAGCCACCTGGGCCATGACGCAGCTCGGCTCGAAAGGAGCTGAAGACCGACAGCGCAGGGTGAGGCCCACGTGGCTCTTTTGGGGTGGTTCTCAAGTGAAAAGAAAGGACACCCACCTAGCAATCTAAAAGAGAAACCCACCATGTTGGGGGTCCCTAAAAGAAAAGGACACACCCAGTCGCCAGTAGTTGCGACTTTCCGAAACCACCTTTTCTAGGGAATGATCCAGGGTTTGGGGGTTTGGGGATGGTTTAGCCATGTAAACCAAAATCGGGGCCTGGGACCCAACCAAAATCGGGGCGGCCATTTCCCCCCACCAATAACGCCCCCATAAATGTTGACCAGTGGAAAGTCCGATTGGTTTGATAGAAGGATACATGGTATGATTTTTTAGGGTGACCGAAAGTGAAACAAACAGTGAATACAAATGTTGCATCACAACCTCACTCTAGTCGTGTTGATGCTCAGGCCGATGCATATGTGTGACCCAAGAGGATTCCACTATCCAAGCACATCCAAGCAACAGGCCACCGGGCACCAAAAACACGGAAAGGGCAGTCCTTTTAGTTCAATCAAGCGGGCGTAGTCGCTCTTTGGTCTGATCTTTGGCCTGCTCCAGCTTGAGGATGACAGCGGTTTCCCCGAGCATCACTCATGTCCCTTCAAGTTGATCAACTTCCTGGTGAGGAATGCAACAAACGCCAGAAGCATTTGGAGGTCGATCAAAGCACACGCCCCCAGCCCCCCTTCAAGGGTTAACAAGATTGCCATTTTGTAGGAGGTCTCAACCGAAGGGTGGAAGGGGCATCCCCTTGTTGAACATGTTGAAACCGCGCTGTAAACTGCCTACTGTTGGTTTCCCGACTCGAGCCAGGCCTGATTGCACAAACAAGTGTTGCAACGATATAAAGCTGTCAGGCAGTAAGTAACCAAATGTTCCAAAGACCGGTGGAAACCTGAGCACACCCAGGGATCCCCTTGGTCCCTGAAGAACCCAAATCGCAGTGGAGCCTTCGAGGCACCGCGCGCAGAAGATGGCCCACGGCGCGAAAGACGTGAAGCGGGGCCCAGGGGTCCTTGGGTTTGGGATGGGCGGCCACCCCCCGAATTAGGGGTTGGTTCGATTGGTTTGGGCGTGTTTTTCTGGAAAATCGCCTTTTTGGGTTGGGCTTGAAAGGAAGTTCAATTGGAAAGCCACAACTTTCAGAGTCCCCATGTTAAGCCACGCCCATTTACAAAGGAGTTCCAGCAATTTGCACGGAACATCAGAACTGCATAGCGTCCGATGTCCAACAGAAAGCACTTACTATCCTAAGAGGTGTCCCGTTGGGGCTTCCTTGGTCTGGGTTTTGGGATTGGGGCGTCAATAAAGGAAGACACACCCACATTTTGGTTGCCTTCAGTTGCCCAGCTCAAATCCGTTTTCCAGGAGGCTCAAGCAAATGGAGGCAAGAGTGATGCTACAAATTGCCAGGAATGGCAGGATACCTCCATCAAGCAGGACTATAGCACGCCACAGCCCGGTTCACTTCAGAAGTTGGCCTGGCGCACCCAGGCAAACCATCCGTGCAGCCAGAGGGCCTCTTACGGGGAAGCGTCGCCACAACATCTTGCCAGCTTTCGAAACTATGGGGTGCAGGGATCAGAATGAAAGACAGCAGCCGATAGCGACAACATCTTGCCAACTGTCCGGACCATGGGGTGCAGGGATGAAAATGAAAGACAGCAGATAGCAACCACATCTGGCCAACTTTTCAGATGACTTTGCGGGGGTCAACGTGAAAGCCAGCAGTCGAACATCCCTTGCTGTTGTTCTTTGGGGGAAGGGCCTTCCGTGGTAGCGGGTTCTCAATCAATTCAGTCATGTGTCGGGCAAATGACTCGACTTCTTGAGCCCCTACGCAACCAATTCAAGCACGACGTAGTGAAATACCGAAATACTGAATACCCTCCCTCCAACTAACATGGAAGTGCACAAAGCCCCTTTTCAAGAGGCAGGGTTCTTGTTATGAGCTCCACAAATGTCCCTTGTTTTCCGCTCCTTACGCGCGGTCTCTTTCAAGAGGACAGTCGTCTTGCTCCAGTCTAGGCACTTCCATCTTAGTTGGTGGGAGGGTAGCCGGATAGTTGACCAATCTTGAAAACCCAGCTTCTCCAGAAAACAGTTCGGAGGTGCCTTTTGCGGATTTCCCTTGTTCTCCTTGTTGGTTCTTGTTTAGAAATCCTTCAGACCTCTTTGAGTACACTCAAGGAGGAGATCTACAAACGCCGCACCCAAACCGTTTCCTGGACTACGAGGGCCGGGGTGAAGCGATTCGGTTGGACAAGTTGGTTGATCTCTTGAGTTCGGTTTTTGTTTGGACCATCAGATGGTCATGAGTTTTAACGAGGAACGTTCAATGACACCAATCTCACCCCTTTTTTGGTTGGGAGGGTTCCCCTAAAATAAAATACGGGAAAAAAAGGTACCCTTAATTTTATCCTCTCTACTGGAGGACCTAGATGACATGAAACGGGGGGGAGACTTTCGAGGACTTGGCCGGCTGAAATTCCAACCAAAAGCGCCAGGGTCTTCAGCGAGACCCACAAGGTTTGGCAGCGGCTCAAGGGCAGCGGGGACCCCGGCCCGAAGCGTTCAACAAGTGAAAGGAAAAAGACAACAGGGAAGGGACCCCAAAAAGCTTGTTGGGCAGGGTCCCTTCCCTGAAGATTGGCCATTCTCAAACAAAAAGTCCCCTCAATGGTCAAACTCGAAAAACCACATTCCAAGTTTGGCCAGTTTAAACATGCCCCTGGATGGCTTAAGCAAATGCAAACCAGTTGTATTGGAGCGTTTCTCCCTCAGCCGCAAATTTGGTTACTCCCCCGTAGATTTTGGACCCCACCCAAAAAAAATATTGTTTTTACAGGAACCTCCCAACAGGAGGTGGACCCCTGTTTTGGCTTCTAGGATTACTGCCCCGAAAAGCGAACCAAAACGCATGACACCCAGTTGGCCCATAAGAGGGAGATTGGAGCCACAAAGGGTCTCAGGTCTCCCTAAGTGGGGAAATTCCATGAGCTGCAGAGAGCTTTTTCTGAGACCTTTTATCGCATATCTTGATCATGGACCAGCTAAAGATACATTTGTGTCTTGTTTTGAGGGTACCCATTTAGGATGGTTTGAAAGGGGAACTAAAAGGAAACCACACCGTTTTGGAGCACACCCCCTATGAAAGCAAGCGAGGTAGATATGATCTACGGTTCTGTTACTTTGTCTGCAAACGCTTGATTGAACCCACTTGGAATTCTCCTATCCTTGTTGCGGTGTTCGAGTAAAACTTTGTGATTTCGAGCCATTCTTGGAAATTGGAATTGCAGCGCATGCTGCAAAGAAGTTCTTGGCAGAAGAGCAGGTGTCCCCCAAAAAACAACCAACACACACGCATGCTCTTGATTCCCAGCGTTCCCCAAATGTGTGCTTTTGTTGGTTAAAAAAAACAGGTGATGTTTCAAGAATAACTATGGAGCAGTACCCCCCCAAAACACCGAAGCCCTATCACTCAGGTAACCCTCAACTGGTGGTTTGGATTGGTGGTTTTGGATTTGGACCGGTTGCCTGGAAAACCGCCCCACCAACGAACCAAAATTGAAATCGGGTCGCATGTGTCTCCCACGCTGGTCGCAAGTAAGCATACAGGCTTGGGCACTTACGGTGGCTGCCCGACTTCGCAGGAGGGCACGGGGTGGCGGGGTGCGGAGAAGCAGTTTCCATCATGTTTGAAGTGGGGCGGCTTATCATTCCAATAAGGGCAAGGGCAATAATGAGAGGTCGTGTTTGAAGCGATAAAATGAACCACAGAATCACAGAAAGGAATCGGCTGACAATTTTCTAGGCAGACATTTGAAGGCAAGGACGCCTTGTAGCAACCTGGGGTAGAACTGTTTCAATACACAAATGAATCCAGCAAATACCCCACTGGCCGGGAACAGATTGGGCTCCCCGACGTGTAGTATGTCCATATATTTCCGGCATCGACGGTACCCCTGGCATGCCCGCACTCGTTAATCCGTGTTGTACGGCATTTGGGCTACTCAAACTGCACAAAGCTCCCAGTTCCTTTGGGTTCTTGCATTTTGGGATGGGAATATTTGCAGGGGTGGCTGAAGGTGAGTTTTTTTTTCAATGTTCTCAGTTGGGGCTAACAAATTCCCCCCAGCAAGCAACCTCCGAGAAGCCGTCTCCCAGAAGGAGGGTCCTCTACAGGTGGGTTTATTTTGAGGTCCCGTGTTAATGTTGTTTGCTAGTGGCACCGAGGACCGACAGTCCTTTTGGCAAGCTTTGCGCTTCCACGTTTCCGAGGGCTCTTTTGTGAAATCATTGTATATCTTAAAGTTCACTAACCTGGACCAGAGTGCCAAAGCATACTTTTACTTGGGGCTGGGACAAAAGCTGAGTCGGTTTGTTGGTAGGAGGATCTCTTCTCAGGAAGCGAGAATGCCGCATGGATTGTCCTGCGGCCAATGTAGGGATGCCGCAGTTGGCCACAGTTTCCTCTTGATTCTTGATTACTATTCGGTTGAATCTTTAAAAACTAACGTTTTCGTTAAGACCTTTTTATTTTTCCCTTTGCACCCACAACAAGTTGAACTTTTTGCAGAGGGGTCTTGCCGACAACCAAGAATTGTTCTTCCTTCACCAGCGTTCAGGAGGCATCGGGGCACCAGCATGGCATTTGAACCGCTCCTTCCTGTTTCACTTTGAAACCAACCCAAAAAGGGTGGCATCAACAAAAAAAGACACCAACATGCAAGAAGCCACTTGTTACAAACAATTCATTACAATCAGCTTCCCTCTTATCAGTAGTTTGCACCACAGGAATTGTCTTTCGTCCAGTTGCCGCACTTTTTTCAGATCTCCTTCAGCACGTGACCAGGAGAACACCTCCACGTGGTCCGTGCTTCACCGGCGAGAGCTTCTGGCCATCACAGCGCTCCGCCAGGAGCGGGACGCCAGCGGCGCGGCGCGGTTGAGAACACGGACCTGTCTCCTCCAAAAAGATGGCTGTGGGTCAAAATCCCGTACCCCCCAGTGAACATCTCAATCCCCACTACAATAGGTTCTAAAATGGGTGGTGCACCTACACGCAAATGGTACCATTGGTTTTGACTCACAGACAGATGTTTCTATGTCAAGGATTTTAAGGTTACTCAATCTAACACATAATCTGACATATGGTTTTTGGTGTACCCCTTTGTTGGGCCAAGCAACGGGTGGACCACAGGGTTTGCCTTTTTCACTATTTTGGAAATTTAATGTTACAGAAAGCGCTTTTTCGGGTTGGTCTGAAAGGGCAGCCAACATACACCGCCCAACTTTGGAGGGAGCTACTCCAAGACTATGCCCATCTTTTGACTAGACAAACTTTCCGGCGGAACCTTTTAGGGCCATGAACCGCCCCCTGGATATGTGCATTTATTTTGGAGCAACCAAAATTGGGACCCGCTCAGAGACTACAACATTGAACCAGCCAAGCAAACATATCAACATCAGGATACAGCAGTTGCTTCGCTGGGATGCCACAGTCCGCAATCCTTGACTTGATGAAGGGGTTCCAAAAACAAATGGATGCTGCCCACACTGCCGGCCCAAGTGAAACAATTGAAATTTGCGCCTGCCTTTGCCTCGGCTTGATATTGCTTCCTTCCCTTTCCTTGCTTTGCCTTCCCTGTCCTTTCTTTTTTTTTTATTTTTGTTTATTCGATTTTTCGGTTTTCATCCCATTGCTGCCTTCCCTTCCCTTCCCCGCCCTCTCCTAGGTCCCCCAGTTGTGCCCTTTCTCACCCCTTTTTTGGTTGGGAGGGTTCCCCTAAAATAGACTGCCGAAAAAAGTTGGTCGGTACCCTTATTCTAACCTCACTGGAGGACCTGGGGAATGGGTTGAGGGTGGTTTCCCGTTGCTTCCCTGCCAGGCTGCCAGTAAGCGCCTTCCCTTTGCTTCCCCTCGCCCTGCAGCCCAGCTGCCGCCAGGAGGTGACGCGGCTCCGGTCCCAGGTGGCCGCCGCCGAGGCGGGCCTCGGCTCCTCGAAGCGGCGGCCGCAGGCGGCGCCTGGGGCCGAAAGGAGCGGCGTGCCGACGTGCCGACGTCATTTCAAAGTTGGCTGAAGCCTATGTCTTGTTTTTAACCTACGTCAAATCCCATTTTTCTTTCGGGAGGGGGGGGCGGAGGGGGGGGGGACCAAGCATATTTAACTTACTTAACTGATTTCCCATGGTCGGTTTTTACGGAGGACTACTGATACTACTCATAAGGTTGGGTTTAATCCCTTTTGATCTTATTTCAAATCCCATGTTTTTTTTTTTTTAAACGGGGAACCTATGACTACTGAGAATTACTACTTCTTATTCATATCTAATGTCAAGTCCCATGGTCGGTTTGCCTCTTCCAGAAAACTCAGTCAGGTTCCATGTAAGTGGTCTTGTTCTGATCTTATGTCAAATCCCATGGTTGGGTTTTTACAGGGTATCTATGGCTGCTGATGCTACTGGAGATATGTTTGCTTTTTCCAGGACTCAGTCAGGTGCCATGTTGGTGGGCAGGAGGGTAAGGAAATCTGGAGAATCCGGTTGTGAGTGAGATACTTCCAGCCGGAATCCACTTCACTGTGGTGTACTCACTTGCAACCATCCCCCTGTTGGGCCGTTGTAATCATGGCCCCAAAAGCAGGGCTCCTTAAAAGATCTCCATTTTGCAACCATTTGAAACATGTTGCGTTGCTTTTTCCACTAAAATAAAGGGAAACCACCCAAGAACAATGCAATGTTAAGGTGTATCATGTAAGGATCCCTGAAAAGGGTGACCTTTTTTTTCTCCAGCTTCTTTGGGCAGAGATGCGCGTGGACTTGTTCATGCCCAGTCGCAAGTCTTTGGCGTGACCAAAACATATGGCTTTCTCAGGAGGGAAGAGCCACCCAGTAGTGAGGGCCCCTGCATGTGGGGTATAGTAAGTGTTAGAAAGAGAGAACGGGGTCAATAGAGGAAAACCTAGAATCAAACTGGGGGTCTGACTTGGCACTGCTCAAGTAGTGCCCCAGTAGTGTTGAGAACCCTTAAGCATACAACATCACTTGTTGTTTTATTTTTCGGGGCTTCCCTGTACCACACTTCCTTGAACATTTGGGACATTTGGGAGGCTGTTTTGGCAGCGGGTGTTGTGAACATAATGGCAGGTTGGGCCCCCAATGAGTTTTTGCTGGCTTAGGATTCTGAGTTTTTGCTGGCTTAGGATTGGCTTAGTATTGGTTTACAAATAGTATTAGTTAGCACTGGTTTTAGTACTACCCTAGCGTTGCCGCTGCCGGGGATCATGTGTTTTCCCACCCGGGCAGGCAGCCCTTTTTCCGCCGAAAAGCCTGTATGTATTCCCTATTTTGTTTTCGGACAAGGGAGCCACCTACCGATTTATGTTTTTTTTTTTTGTCGGGCGCCATAGGGCGGTTACAACGTGAGGGCCTTTCAAAGTCACTTCAATTCGAGGATGTCACTTCAATATTCAATGGATAAAGTTGCTCAGCTTTTACCCCAGGGAGGGGGCATCTTTCAGGAGACAGACACCTCCCACCGAATCAGCCCTCAGAAGTTGTTCAATAGAACCCTTATCAGGATCTATTCGATCGCAAGGCTCCTTCCGAATTGTTTGTGGGGTTTATGCCGGCTCCCTTTGCTTGACCTAAGCAGAGAAGAGCCCCGCAAGCAGGAGAACCGGTTCCTACAGAAATAAGCAGCACTGTAGACACCCAGCTGTTCCGTGGCACCCTTTTTCCCTTGTTGGCAGCTTCCCCGCCAAACACGGTCATCCTCAAAAAGGGTTTCCTTGTTCCACTAGGGTCACTGGCTGCAACTGGGGACAGCATCGCCACGAGCTGGCAACCCGGGCTTAGGGCCCAAGTTTATACTCTGCCGATCAGTTCAAATGGGAGCAGCCCTGGTCGACATAAAACGTGACTGGAAATGTTGGGAAGTAAAGCAAACTAGGTTCTTCAGTAGTGCCCTTTTACCCTTTTTGGGGTGCCCTACTAAAATGGACTACAGAAAAAGTTGGTACCCTTATTCTAACCTCTCTACTAGAGGACCTGGCAAAACAATGGAAGACAAAACGATCTGAGACTTTGGGGTGGCGGGAGCAGAGACTGAGGCTGCAGCTGAGCAGGAGACACGCGCGCCCTGGCATGAGACACGAAACTTTCGACGCGGCGGCTGAATAATCAACACTATGTATCAAGGGGTACCAGGGATATCCGCATAGTTGCGCCCTTAGGTAATGTATTCCGAACTTGGCAACACTTACTCAATCTCGTTTTAGTCATGGCAAGCAAGGCAACTAGCTCATTCTGAGACCCGAAGTTGGTGATTCGGCCTCCCTTTTCCCGTTGTATTCCAGTTGATCCTTTCCCTTGCTCTTCCAAGCTTATGGTTGTTGCTTTGCTGATTGTCTCCAAACCCGTTGCAACTTGCGAACTCTTTTCAGGGGCTGGAAGGATTGCTGGGGGGCAAGTATATTTTTTCACGTGTCCATTAGACAGGTGCTTCGCATCCACTCGGGGAAGGCTCGAAGACTTTTCGGGTGCCCGAAATTCGGTTTGGCCATCCGCAAAGACAAGATGGATTGAACATCCTTCTTGTCTCCCTTTGCAAGGTGGTGGTTCTTTTGGAGCACCCTTCTTGCCTTGGTTTCATGAGGCGATCTTACATGCCGTGCTGCGGCAGGCTCGGCCCAGGGGTTTGGTGGGTTAGGTGCAGAGTGTGCCACTTAGGAGAGAACCAAGAGGGAAATTAAAGACTCCACATTGAAACAAGGGGGCCCAAATAGAAAATATGCTGAAAATCGAGGCATCCCCCAATCCTGGAAAACCTACATCTGATTGGGAAGGGCTGAGGTTTAGATACATGTTGTGTTTGAATCTTGACTAGGAGCAAGCAAAATAATTGCACATATGCCCTGGTGTGCTTCAGCTAAATAGTGTTATAATTACAGCCTTGATTTACCCAGCATCTATTCTATTTCCTAGCTTGGTTTTAAGCCATTGTCACGCTTCTTCTGCGGGTCCTTTGAGTGAATGTATTTGTTGCCTTTCCATGCCATGTTGAAGCGAATCGAGCAAGCAAGCCTGCAACAAACAAGGGTCGTGGAAGTGACGCTTGTTTTTTTTGGTGAGAAACTTTTTTCAAGCTGCCAAAAGGAAAGGCAGGACTTTTTGTTCAAGGCTTTGCGGAGAACTCTTCCGGCAAAAGGAATCCAGACAGTTGAGGGGCGGCATTTTCCGATTTATACCGGCAGAAGTAAAAGAAAGCATATATGTCCGGGTCTTTCTAAACCACTCAAAACCATGGGAAACAGCGATCGATTTTTGAAAACGATGGTTTAAAAGAATGGGGAATGAGCCCCTAGAATTTTTGGGTACGCCTATTTTTGGGACCACAAATAATAGATAGAAACCACCCAGTTTTTGTTGGGGAGGGTGCCTCACATTAAGACCCAAGACAAACCTGAGCCATGGTCACCGGCAGTTGTGGGTTCACTTGGGATTGTCTTCTGGGTCAGCGTTTGGATGATAGAAGCCATGGACCAAACAAAATGGAAGATAGGTGAGTGAATTCCTTCCCCCACTTGCTCGATGCCTGGAAAGAATGGAAATGAGGACGGTACCCCTAGAACAAAGCCCAGTGGATGCCAGTTTTTAGGATTCCTGGAGTCTCCATGACCCTTTAAAAATGGGGTCATTACCCAAAATAATGGGGTCATGGACCCATTTTTTAAGGGGCATGGAGACTCCAGGTATCCTCATAGAAGGTTCCCCTAGAAAAATGGAAGTTTCCCTTGCCAACTGCGGCAGGCGGAGAAGGCGCGGGAGGCGATGGGATCCTACGGCCTCTGGGCCTCGCAGATGGAAGCAGCGCTGAAAGACGCTCGGACCGGGGTAGGCCTACGGCTACGGGAGCGTGGCTGTCGGGGCAGCGGGGAGGGGGGGAGCTGAACAAAGTTGCAACCACAATCACAACCACAAGCACAAAGACAACGAGAAGCACAAACACAACCACACACACGACAAAGACAACCACAAGCACACCCACACACACACACACACAACTATAAATACAAGCGCCAAATACAATCACAAACGCATCCATTTTGTTGTATGTCAGATTTGGGGGCTACCTAAAAGAACGGCACCCTCAAAGGCAAAAAACACGCGGACAGACACACGCGCACGCGCACTCAGGAAGTGAGCTCTCACGACCTCTCGGAGTCCAGATGCCCACGCCTCGGCTGCCTCGGCTTCATTGCGCTCAGCTTCATTGCGCAGGTCTGGGCAGATGGGCGATTCTTTCGGTTTGTTTGGGGGGGACCCCCCAGAGAAGTTGTTTTTTTTTGGTAAAAAATAAATAAAAACATGGACAATTTGCAGGTGTTCCGAGAAATGTTCGCCTCATTCACCTCGGGTTAATCAACAGGGTAGTTTTCCGGACCCTCCAAACGGGGACCACTCTCACTCTCTTACCAAGTTTCTGGACTCGCTTTGTTTTTTGGTAAGCCGGTTTTGTTGGCAAGCAAACATATTAGTCTTGTTGGCCAATCCGCTCGGGAAAGTGGTACTGTATTCATCCACCAGGTTTTGTTACACTTCCAGCACTCCCCCAACTCTGCGCCCCTAATCCGCTGCAGGGGCTGAAGCGTGAGGTTGCAGCCAGCCCTTGGAAGCTTGAAGCAACTTCATCCCGTTCTATGCGTTGCCCTTTGACACTTTCCCTATTTGGGCTGAAGAGACAGTTGGTTGCCCCCCGTGAGGATTGAGTCACTTCTGCTCGCCCCAATCCGTTTCAAAAGCGAGCCCAAAAGTTTCCACCAAGCAAGTTATGAATCATTTGCCATTGGTTGTGACCGCCCGTCTCCTGGTGCTTGGAACTGGCGCAAGTTCTCGCAACTTGCAAAGTGTCATTTGGACACCTCCCTTTCATCCTGCAGATGGTTCGTCAGCACGACTTAAAGACCCACTAGCTTTCACCTGGAGACTTCATTTCAACAGCATGTCTTTTCCCATCAGTGTGTCCTAGAAGCCACTGGCCAATTGGCGCTGAACCACGGTCACCCATTTTGAGGGTTCCCCAATTTTAAGACAAACCCATATGTCCAGAGTGGTGGTTTGGGATAGTGGTCTGACCCTCTGACACTTTAGGCGCTTTGCCGAGCATGGGCAAGGAAGCACAGAGGCGGCCCGGGGATGGGGGAGGAATGGGGAGGAGAAGATGTTTGTGCAGTTGGCGCCAAAGGAAGACACTATCCTTTGGTTGTCAAGGCATGTCAAGGCCCACCCTAAGTAGCCCCCCCTCCCCCGCCCCCACCTAGTCTTGCTTGTTCTCAGCAGGGAATGAGGAAATGCTCCCTATAAACCATCCCCTATACTTTCCTTTCAGGGAATCCCCAGGTTCATTCCCCACACCCTGCGTCATTCCCTACTGAGCACCAGCAAGTAAGGTGGGGTGACAAGCACAGCACATGAGCTGGAACTCGGACCCTAAAGGCGAAATTTGGATATGATGTTATTTGTTGATATGATGGTACTTCTTGATATGATGTTATAGGTTCACCGAAGAGTGGACCAGATTCTTGAAATTGTACTTTGCTTTGTGGGCAAACGCTGAGGTACTAGAGGTAATCACCTTTGCTTCCCAGGCCCTTTGGTAAAGCAAGGGAATTCCCTAGATCGCCTTGACACACAAATCCTCCCCTTTTTGCTCGGGCTGGGCTTTCCTAGCCCATCAAAGGCGACTCTAACCCACCAAACCAGGAAGGGGCCAGGGCGCCCTTTTCATGGAGTCTTGGTGATAGCAACCGCTTAGGTCTGGGGTAAACAGGGCTGCCATCTGGATTTCACTGAGCAAGGCAAAAGTCACGTTGGCTCGCTTGCTTTGCGGAGGGTTCCGCCCCAATTCCTTGGTGGAAGCCACCCGGAAGTGTGAGAAAGGTCATGTGGACCCAGGATGACCCAACCCCTGGTTGATGAACAGGAGCGCTGTCCCCATTTTAGAGGCAGCGCGTCACTTGGAGGAAGCGAAACTGGTCTTTGGACCCCAAGCTGCCGGTGAAAATTGCTTTGGCGACCTACGGCTTCAAGCAGAATCTGGGGCTTTGGAAGTAGGAGGGGGCCTTACCCAAAAAGGAAGAACACCTTGGGCAACTGAGAAAATATATGCAACGACATTGGCCGCGAGCAAGCGGGCAACTTGAATTTACCTGTAAAGCGATTTGCCTGTAAAGCGAATGAGATCTTTCCAGGCTTTGAAAGCCGAGGGGCGAAGAAGAAATCGTGACGCGAATATGCTGCTTTGTATTTCCCGAGGGGTCCTATTTGATGTTCGGCCCACATGGGGTATCAAGCGAGAATCCCACACAGGAAAACCTGTTGAGTTGCCACTCGCCCATTTGAAGGCTCAAAATTTCGGGACTGTTTCTGGCGTGGGCTCAGCATTTCAGATGTTCTGAACCTGTCATACTTGCTGCGGGTCATTGACAAGTAGCTCGAATTTCGGGAGTTTGAACAAATTGGCAAGAGGGGCTCGGCTAAGAATAGGACAAATCCGCTCGGTAAGGCCTTCCAGCGGTATCACCAGCGATAGAGTGTGTTGGTTCCACAAGGTCATAGTTGTTTGCCTTTGGTTGCCGGCTTTTGCCCAACAGCTATGGGGGTTGGCAAGTCAAAGCTGTCGGGCGATTTTGGGTGTTTCCCCCTCTTAACGTTGGAAAACCGAGTGCCAGTTAGTCGTCTTCAACTGGGTCTCATCCACTGAGAAGCCTTCGGCCCATAAGCTCGGCCAGGCTCCGCAGCTGCTTCGCTGCCATGGCGCAGGCAGCCAGACGTCAGGCGCGGCTCGCGGCGAGCCCTCCCCTTGTTCAGGCCGTGAAAGCACGGAAGGCTTTCAAGGTACCTTCTGAGGAAGAGGAACCATTGCAGACCATTGCAGCTTTGGGGTTACCTTTGAGGAGGCTTCCCATCTCTCCGCTTGCCGTGGTGTCTGGGCCGCATTCTGCAGGTACGAGCAGAATCGAACGTGACATTTTTGGGCGGAGGCACTGGTGGTGGAAGAAGGACATTAACCCCTGCTTTGGCATCCTTTCTTTTGCGCACATAGACAGCACACATAGTCATATCCCTTGACAGTTTAGGCGGTGGAGCTTTCCCCTTGATCGAGAAAAGGGATTGCTTGGGTGGAGTGTCTTCACACCTTCACCTCGTTTCATCGATCAACCTTGGCATCGTTTTTGGAATTGCCTGTTTCTGGGTTCACTATGGACCGGAATCAAACTTCTGTTTCTTTAGCCCCAAAACGGGGACCCCCCAACCTCGCTAAACTCGCAGAACTTCGCCCAAGATCACACTTGACCTTGCTGCGAAGTCGCGGGACTTCGACTTGAACTTCGTCCAAGGCTCATCACTTTTTTTGCTTGGACCATTTTGGTGGTAAATCAAAAGTATCGACTTTTCTTGACCCATCCACTCAGCGGTATCTGCATGTCAATTGATTACGCGGAGGTTCGCAGAACTGTTCGCGGAAGTTCTTCGCGGAACCCCTTACCCGGAACTGTTCGCGGAAGTTTGTGTTGAAGTTCGCAGACAGGGGCTTCCAGCCAGCACTCCCCTCGTGTCATCGTATCATTCTTGGCTTCGAAGATCGCCCGTCTGAAGGTCCAGCGTGCCCCGAAGAAGGCTGGGCACGAGCCTGGCTGGCGCCTCGCTCGGGCCGAGGTGCATCTTGCTTGGATGTTAGGACTTTAACTTGTTGCCAACTAATGGGTTTCCATGAAACCACGAAAAGGTAAACTTTTAGCAGGGGAGCAGAAAGCAACCGAGCTTACATGTACATTACATATGTATATGCCTAGATGTATATGTACGCAACTACTTTACAACTTTGCCAATGTAGATGTACATCTATGCTAGTTTGCATGTCATAGGGATATATTTTGCATCGACTGATCTCCAGTGAGTCAACCGGGCGACTGAGCCAGCTCCCGAAGCCAGGGGAGGGGAAGGCCTTCACGTCCGGTTCCTTGGGTTGGTATCGACATGTAGCCCCAGTGGTGTCCAACAGCATTTCTTTGAAGGACTTCCAACAGGTTTTCCTCAAGAGCCGGAACCTCTCGGGCAAGTGAGTGCAGATTTACAGCATGCAGGGCTTTTGCAAACATCGGCCCCGCAACCACATGATCCGGATATCTTGTCATGAGTATGTATCGGCTTCAAAGCATGTGGCCCTATGGGTGTGTGTTCCTTTCAGGGGACCCTTTTCAGGGTCCCCACTTTTGACACAACACCACGCCCATCTAAAACATTCCCCAACCTAGCCGAAATCAAGCCTACACCCTTGGTTTTTATTTCCAGCTGTTGCTGGAGTTTACTGTGCTGTATCAAAATCAATTGGGGGTTGTGTCAGTTTCACCTACCTCTTCGGCAAGTGCAAAGTAGTGAGGCTAGCAAATGCAATTGCAACCCTAAACCCACAGGCCCACATTACGATTTTTCATAGGATTCCCTCCGAAATTGTTGATGGACATTAATTCCTATGTAAATGATGCCCACCAAAGAGTCCCCAGTCAGATGAACACTTTATACAACCCCGAATGCACTCTACCCTGGTAGCGTTGGTGTGAACCCTGTGTTCATGGATTATGGTTGTATTTTGGGAAACTAGCCTCATAACAACCAGGCTAGACTCCCGACCAAATAAAAGAACCCTGACTTGTTCAAAGAGTGTTTCCAGCCTCCAGTGCCTGGGAAAACTGGGGCACATTGTCCCCCTATTTCCACAAGAGCCGCCAACCCACTACGAGTCGGGAGCTCTGGATTTCCCTTGGGTTTGCAATGTGGTGGTTTCCATGGATCCGATGGCCGCTTTTGAAGGTTCCGCAAGGGGAAATGGAGGAAACCCTGTGCTAAACCCTCTACCCATCCCTCGCAGGCTCGGGAGACGGTCTCAGACACTTTCGGGGAGGAGCTGGCGGAAGTCGGGTGATGTTTTTGTTCTGGGGGGATATTCTCAGGGGAGAAATGGAACCCAGTGGGTCGGATTGCCGCGATGCTTCGCAAACAGCAAAAAGGCAAACAGGGAATGGACCCACTGGGGTGGGGAATTTTGCGGTCGCCTGCTTTCTTGATAGATGCCTCAAACTGTTCCTTTCATCTCTGTGTCACAAGCTTCGGGGAGAAGTGTGTGATCATTTCGGTTGGATTTGGTTGATGACGTGTGAATTGTTCGACGCTATGAATTGGCTGGTGCTGTTGGGGATGCTGGCTGGCGAGGCTGCTGCCGGTCAGTGGTGCCAGGGATGTGGGCTCCATTTTTTCTGACATTAAGTACACTCTTTCCGGTATTAACACGCTCTTTTTAGTATTAGTGTGGGTCCTCAGGGGTAAATCAGGGAAGTTGTTAGTATTATAAAATTATACGTGCCAGGGATGTTTTGGGATGTCAGAGTGCTCGCTCTGTTGGGGTCTTAGCTGGCGATTTTAGTCACAGGTATTTTTATCAAACCAATCACGGAATCCGACAAAGTTGTTAAAGTTCTTTTTTTTGTTTTTTTTTTCGTTTGGCCTAGTCAAGTTCTTTCTCAAGCCATTTCGTTGAGATGCGAGTTCTGCCGGTATTGCTTCCAAGGCCCCCCCTCCCCCAAAAGTCATCCGAGGCTTTGGCTGGGGAACTTTTCGACTGCCGTCCAGGGCTCAGATCTCAACTAAGCCCCCGTTCCCGTTTCCGTTTCTCCAGGCGGATTTGCAGATCCCTGTTTGGGAAGGCCCA